GGGGAACAATGGGAGCCTTCCTGGAGTTAGGCAGCAGAAATGCCCGAAGCCCTGAAGGTGAGCACAGGTTAGTCACACCAAGGGGAGGGGATTAGTATTCTAAGCACATGGGTTCCTGAGATGGAAGGAAGTGCTTTGAGGTGGCTGGAGCACACAGGAGAGATGGAGATGGAGAAGCAAAGGGGCAGTCAGGACATGAGGTCTGTCTTGGAAAGGAATGGCGGACAGTGAATTGTACTTTAAAGACTGGGTTGTGTGGGGGTGTGAATTGTATTTCTTTAAAGCTGTTTAAAAAAAGTGGTGCAGTGTCAGACATGCTGGCTGGCTTCATTGCAGGATGAATTGGAAGGAAGGCAAAAACAAAATTTTAGTCACAGAGATCAGTTAGGCAGTTGTGTTAATCTGTGTGAAAGATGATGATGCCTTGTTACTGAATCAGTGGGAGCAATGGATAAAATTATAGAGATACTCAGGATGTGATTGGTAGACCCTAAGAGCTGAGCAAAATGCCTGATGTGTGGTTGGGCATCTGACAAACATATTTCTTGATCTGGTTGAATGAGGAAGAATTAATTGTACTTCACTAGCTGCATTTGGTGAGTCAAGTGTCCTACAGAATTTGGCTTGAGTAACTGAGATTGTTAGCAGTCAGGGAGTGAGAACTCAGGAGGGAATGGCAGCTTTTCATGGACCAGTAAGTTTTACATGATCCCAGAGAGGATCTTTTTGGATTTTTGTCATTTGCAGTCCATTTTACACGATTTAGTTCTCAGTTGTACAATAGAATTCCCCCTCCCAACCCGTGCCACAAGAGATCCTAAGTTCTTGAGGGTAGGGATGATGTTTGGCAACATTTATATCTTGCACAGCACAATATACTATTGGGTATTATCTACTAGTGAGAGTTTCCATCGGGAAAGCACCTCACAATCTGTGAGTGTGTATGCATATGGTATGCTTAATTAACTTAATTCTCATAGCAGCTCTGTGAAGTAGCTGGTGATTGTCCCTATTTTAGGGCAGTGAAATGGATTCAGAGAGGTAGAGTGATTTGCCCAAGGCAGTTCAGTACATAGCAGTGCCAAGAACTTGGTCTTGGCTTTTGAGTCCAGTTCTGACATGGGCCTGACCTCCTGGGACTGCTTAAATAGTGCAAGGAAGTGGTTTTCTTAAAGTGAGGTTTGGGCCCAGAGCATGACAGAAATTTTAGCACTTTATTTGAGTGGGTTCTGATAAGTGGTGTTGAGGGGTTTGTGGCTGGTTGTTGGCTTCACTTTGAAGAGGCAAACGAGGTTTGTGCGGAGGGTGAAGTAGCTGAAGTTAATAAAGAGTAGTTCTGTATCACTGACTCTTGAAGGCCTTTGACTCTGATTAGATGAGAACACAGCGAGGCTAGCTGACCAGATTTTACCAGTTAAGATAAAATGATGAAGTGCAACCTGATAAATGTGGGAACTAGTGAGAGGAATATATGTTTTTTTATGAGTCCTAGGGGTGCTGCTTTTGGAAATGTATAAGTTGTAGGTCTGTTTTGAATATCCCTCTCCACTCAAGCATGAGTAATAAAGGTTTTTGTGGGTTTAAAAAAATTTTTATCAGAAAAACCATGCAAATTCACTTCCTTGGTGATTTCATTCAATTCATGTCTTTAAAAACTAAATTAAAAAGTAAATTTTTATCTCCAGCCTGGACCTCTGCCTACTGAAAATCTTTATGTGTATGTGTATGTGTATGTGTTTTTTTTTTTTTTTTTTTTAAAGATTTTATTTATTTATTTGACAGAGAGACAGCGAGAGAGGGAACACAAGCAGGGGGAGTGGGAGAGAGAGAAGCGGGCTTCCCGCGGAGCAGGGAGCCAGATGCGGGGCTCGATCCCAGGACCCCGGGACCATGACCCGAGCCGAAGGCAGTCGCTTAACTGACTGAGCCACCCCGACACCCCTCTTTATGTGGTTTTTAGAAGGCTTCTCAAACTTAGCATGTTTCGTACCTGAGCTCTTAATCTTTCTTCCAAAACTCACATAATGCCCATTTCATTGTCCAGCTGCTCATGCTAGAACCCTTGGAGTTGTTCCTGACTTCTTCCCTCACACCTTACCTCCCAGTTTGTCAGCACATCCAGTTTGAGACTTACCTTAAAAATACATAGAAAATAAGACTCCTCCCTTTCTCTGCCCCTGCCATGCTGGGTCATCCCAACTACCTTCGCCTCTTACCTGGCTTGTTGCAGTAAGCCTCCTCCCTCACCGGTCTTCATGCTGCAACCCCTGCATCCCTTTAGGTTTTTTCTCAATGACCAGAGTGATCTTAAACACAAGTCAGATCATGTCTTTCTTTGTTACTCAGATCCCTGCAGTGGCTGAAATGTCATTCGAATCACTTCATGTCACTTCGTGGCACTTGAGTAAAGGCTCCAGAGTCCTTACACTGGCATACAAGGCAGGATCCAGCCCCCCCCTTCACCTCTCTGAACTCATCTCCCACCACTTTCCCTCTTCCTCATGCCACTGCAGCGCCACTGGCCTCCTGTGTCTTGAGTGTGCTCAGCTCATTTCTGCCTCTGGACATTTGTACCTCCTCTCCCTCTGCTGGAATGATCTCCCTTCATGTGCCCTCATGGCTTTTTCTCTAACGCTCTTGCTTGGGGCAAAGCCTGAGGCCTTCCTTCACCATCAGTTAAGATTACAATTCTCCCACACTCTGTGTCCCCCGCATTGGATTCCCCATTTAAGATCTTTTCATGTACTGTATACATATCATTCTTTTGATTATGGTCTTTTTCCACTCCCTAGAACATCAGCTCCACCAGAGCAGAGAAGTTTTTGTGCGGTTTTCTGCTGCTTCCCTCACACCTAGAGCAGTAACTAGTGCACAGTAGGCATTTGGTAGACATTTGTTCAGTGAACAGATGAAGACTGTTGTGAATCTGAACGTGTTCTAGACTAGATTTTCTCTCTCTTTTTTGTTATTAAAGTATCTTATAGGGGTGCCTGGGTGGCTCAGTCATTTAAGTGTCCCAACTCTTGATTTCGGCGTCCAACTCGTGATCCTCGGGGTCGTGGGATCGAGCCCCACATGGGGCTCTGAGCTCAGTGGGGAGTCTGCTTGGGATTCTCTCTCCCTCTCCCTCTGCCCTTCCCACCGCCTCCCCCCTTCACACTTGTGTGTGTGCATGTGTGCGCTCGCTCTCATTCTCTCTCAAATAAATAAATAAAATCTTAGAAAAATAAAGTATCTTATACTGGTTTTTGTTTAACTGGGTTAAGCAGTGAATTGACAGAAATACCCTCAATATTTTTGTCTTTGTTACTGGACAGAAATTTCTTTTGGGGAAGGAAAGGGCAAAGTGAGTGTGTTTCCTAAATCTGTCTGTGCAAATTATCAGCCTGGATGCGTGCAGGAAAAGTTAGTACCTATGAAGAGCTGGTGACCTTGGGGGCACAGATTATGACCTGAGTAGTAGGTTGCAGTCAGGTCAGATGGGGTTTACTTTGGCAGAATAATTGGCTGTATGGCTTCATGCACATGGTTTCTTCATGGTTTCCCTTCTGTAGTCTATAAAGTGGGGACGGTGACTTCTGTCTGGTTCACTTGACTGAGCTGTTAGAGAAAGAATTGAATGAGATCATGGCAGGAACCTGCTTTGTAAACCCCTTATTGTTAACAAAAATGATGTTGTTGTATTGGTAGATCATTTCTAGCAAATTGAAGTGACAACTACCCTTGTCATTGCCATCTGGTTTCTCTCTGGGTCCCTTTCCTCAAATGTCACATTATTATTGTGTGTTGGTCATTGTATAATGAGGCTCAGAAAAATTCTGATTAGTATGGTAAATGCAGAGGAAAAGAAACATACATCCCTGTTGCACTGTATTTTAGAGCCAGATGTAAATGGTAATTGGTTGACTTTTGCTTTGGATTATCACTGTTTTAGTTAACTGAAAGTTGGATACACACACGGGATTTTATTTTGTGTCTGTTGTTTCTTGAATTTTTCTTTCTTGCTTACTCTTGGCAGAAATAACTCAAATTTCTTTGTAAAAAGAAGCTAGTATATGATTTTGTAAGGAGTAGTGTTGAATGTACAATTTGGACTTAGTATTTCTTTCCTTTTTGAGTGCTGAAATAATATTTTTACATAATTTTCTGGTTATCTTGTTAACCCTGGAGAGAATGATCTTTTTCCTAAATTCGTAAGTTGTCTGTCCTTGAGCTATATCTGAGAGGTTTTCAGCCTAAGCTGCTTGTTCTTTTTAGATTCCCAGTAGACCTTGGTATGTTTTCAGTGTCAAAGAGGAATGTTTTAACAACGGTGTTAGCTGATAGTTTTCTTTCTTGCATGATTGGCTTGTTCATGCTTTAAACTTAAGCCCAGTGGAGAAAGTAGTATGTCTCTTTGTGTATTTTCAATTGCTAACACTAGTGGCCTACAGGGACTTGGGAGTATATTACTGTCTGTTTAGCAGATGATTCATCTAGGCAGAACTTTTGCAGGCACTGGGATAATTTTTCATTTTCTTGAAATATGTTTAGAAAATTGAAATCCTACCTAGAAGCATATTTCCTATGTAGAAGGAAATGTCTGTAGTACATGCCTGTACTACATGCTTTCTCCCTTCGGACTTTGTTTTAAATTGTCAGCATTATTGCTCCTTCATAGGTCTGTCTCCCAAAGGTGGTTGTGATTATTTTATATTTTCTTGAACAGGTAAGGATATTTGAGGTGCTTGTGGAGAGGTGTTTTCTGGTGCCAGATTTGACCTTAGAGCTTTGGAGTGAGTATATGATAATTTTTATGGTTTTGGCATGACCGAATAGAATTTTCTCTGTGTTTAAGACATGTATTTGCAAGTTATTTGTTTGTTGTTGTCTAAGTAAAGAGGACCAATCTTTTGTTTATTTGCATATGTCATTTTCTGTCTGGCCCTAGTAACATAAGAAACAGATGGTTCTCATATTGATCAGTTGTTTGCCTTTTTTTTTTTTTTTTTTTGCATTAGAGCATTGAGGTCAAGGACTCTTGAGCTTTTCCCTCATTGTATCTTCAGTTCCGAAGACCTGGCACCTAGATAGTGTTTAGTATAGATCGTTGAACAAATGAGAGAAGATGTTGAGGAAGATGATACAGGACGGCAAAAGATAAATTACTGGTAATTATGACTGTCCCAAAACTGACTTGTAAACAAAACAGTCCATGTCTGTCTGTCATCGTCCTCCCACTGCACTATAAAATTTTTTATAAGAATTGTGTTGGATTGGAATTGGAGATTCTCTCTTTTCATTGTAAAGTCTTAAAAACTTCAGTCTTTCCTTGTTGGGCTTAGTTCTAGAGAGGAGTTTACTAGGGAAATTATTTATAGTGGAAATTTGAAAGAATGTGAAAACCACCTACTATTCTCTAAAGATGGAAGGTTGTTTTTGGAAGCTGTTTGGTTTTGTTAAGGCAGAGATAATTCAGAGATACCATTTTTCCTGGAAAATAACTACAGTAGTAGACTTCGAAGATGGGAAAAATTGTGATTGAAGGCAAAAGAATCTTGCTTTGAGGGTCATCACTTTTATTTGAGTCAATGCCTGTGTTTATTCTTGAGAGGAGCTCTGGAAATTTGGAGATGTGGCTAGAAAGAGTCTTAGAAGATAGTTCCCTGTGAGAGACATCTTGAGACATTTTTCTAGGCTATCCAAATTATTTTTTTTCCCCCAGGTGGAAATAGTTTTAGTATATAGGTTCTTGCCCTTGTAAATTAAAGTTGTGGGTTATGAAGCTCCTTTTATGTTGTGTATTAGGGTACACTTTACTTTTTCCTTCAAAAAAAGAAAATAAGTGATGTACAGAAAGTATTGTTTACTATTTTGCATTGAGATGTTTTCATTATTGATGTGGTATTAAATCCCAAACCATATGCTAGCTGAGGCCAAAAACTTTATATACTTAAACTTTGTATCACTTGTCCTAACTTTTTTCCAATGGTTTGGCAGGTTTTTGGGGCTAAAACATGAGCAAGTAAGATATTCATTTAACAAAACATTATTTTAGGAAGGAAATATGAGAAAATGTTAAAGTAAAATCAATTTCTCTTTCTCTCTTTTCTTGCCTAGCGTTTTTGAAACGTTGGGGTAGTTGGAGTGGTTGGATTTTCCCTGGAATTGAGTGAGAAATTCAGAAGACTGAAGCCCAGGCTTACTGTCTACCTTTCACGGAGGCCTAGCCGTGAGAGGACAGAAGAAGGCACGTGGCGAATCATGACAGCTGACAAAGACAAAGACAAAGACAAAGAGAAGGACCGGGACCGAGATCGGGACCGAGAGAGAGATAAACGAGACAAAGCAAGAGAGGGTGAGAATTCAAGACCACGTAGGAGCTGCACCTTGGAAGGAGGAGCCAAAAATTATGCTGAGAGTGACCACAGCGAAGATGAGGATAATGACAACAATAGTGCCACCACAGAGGAGTCCACGAAGAAGAACAAAAAGAAACCACCGAAAAAAAAATCTCGTTATGAAAGGACAGACACCGGCGAGATAACCTCTTACATCACTGAGGATGATGTTGTCTACAGACCAGGAGGTAAGGAGCACAGTGTTTGTGGTGGAGAAATGACATCAGCATTTACAGGCCTCTTTACACATTAGGGAAGGCAGGGGACCCAGAAAAGGAGATACGGTAGTTTTGGGTAGAAAAAAAATCAAGGTAGGAAACACATTGACCCACTTCGGGGCAGTTGGATTCACTGGCTTCTTGCTTGTGTCTGCCTCAACTTGGTCTTCTGTCCTTGTGCATTTGTCAGTTTCTTTCCTTGTGTCCTTGTGCTACTTCTCTCACTTCACCATCTCCTTAGTAGATTTCATTTTTTGATTTCCTCCTTGCTCTTTATCTTCAAAACAATTATGCGGTGGTGACCCTGCAGAATAGAATATGTGGTAGGATAAGTAAACCTTGTAAAGATTCTTAGAAGCGGGATGTTTCACATTACTGCAGAGTGAGCTGAAGCTGAAGAAGTATCTTTAAAGGCCTTTAGACCAAAGTTTATTTCTCCTGATAACCTCCTTTCCCAATGAGTCGAGCTTCAGAATCTCTAACCAGTGATAATAGAAGTTGCTGAAGACAACTAACTTGCTTTGTTTTCCAGAAAATGTACTATAGTTTACTCAGTGTTTTGAGGTTTATAGCATTGTTCAGAGAGAGACAGACCCAGCCTTCAGATGAGATGCAGGGAAACCAGTGATTGAGACCCTACCGGGCACCCGCAAAACTGCCCCCCCTTAAAGATTTATTTATTTATTTGAGAGAGAGGGAGAGGGAGGGGGAGAATGTATGCACACTAGTCGGGGGAGGGGCAGAGAGAGGGAGAGAGAGAATCCCAAGCAGACTCCCCACTGAGCCGGAGTTGGGGCTGTATCCCACGACCTGTGAGATCGTGACCCCAACTGAAATCACAAGTCAGAGGCTCAGCCAACTGAACCACCCAGGCACCCCACAGAACTTTTCTTTTTTCATGTCATGTGTTGTGTGTGTTAAGGTATTTTTCTTAAGGAAGTCAGTAAAACTAGCTAAAGTCGTTTTGTTTGAATTACTATAATGCTGAGAAGTGACATCAATTTCATGAGGTGTAATTAAAAGATTAAAAGCCTCCCAGTTTGGTGTTCTTCCAGGAAAGGGAGGTTAGAGAAATTACATTATATCGTTAACCTGTACAATTGTTTTACTGAGGAGTACTGTAACTTTTCTGAACTTTGTGTAAAGTACCAGAGTTTTTTTTCCCCTGTATAGGAATTTGTTTTGAATTTCAAAGATAAACAGTATTAGGACTTACATAGATAAACTTGTAGTCATAGCTACACTATATTGATGATTAACTGAGGAGATACGTGACATAAAAGTATAGCGTTAGGTTTTAGGCAAGTTAGAGCTCTGCGGTAGAGATCTAGTAATGTGTGGGTCACAATATCGTCAGTGTCTAAGATTTAAAAGACTTAGATATTGGACAGTAAGAGTATCTGAGCCACTGAAGAATATCTCATTACAGAGTTACCACACATTACATGCTATCGACCTATTCAGTTCTAAATCGTGGGAAAGGAACAGAATGTGTTAACTTCTTTAGATAGAGATTATATAGTATCATAAATTAAAAATAAGGAAAGATCTTACTTGTTATCCTTTTCTCATGATACATAACAATTCAGTGTGGTAATGTGATCGTCTGGATCATTGTCAAAAGGCCTACTGCCTTGTGCAGTAGCGAATGCCCGCCCTTCTCAAGGGAATGTTACTCCTGTGTCAGTGGCGATACTTTCCTCAAATATTTGTAGTCAAACACGTGTGGGAAGTGCTGTACATACTGTCCCTGTCATAAGAGATTCATAGTTAATGACCCTGAGAAGTGCTGCTCTTCAGGTAACCTTTATAACGTTAAAAAAAAAAAAACCCACCAAATCTGCTCTTTTCCCCATTTATGGGATTGTGGTGCCCTGTTTCTGCTGGTTATCTCCCTAAGAGAAACCAGTTTTGAGGGAACGGGTTTGGGAGCCATTGCACATTGATCTTGCACCTTCTAGTGGATAGTAGAAGCCCTTCCTCTGCTTGATGTGTGGAAGAGTATGTGAAGGGGCGTCACTCGGGGCTTACTTACAGTGAGTTCTTGAAGTGTTTTGGAGTCGAACTGAGTAATTTATGAAGGCAGGCATTGTTTCGTAAATCTGAGGACCTTTGTGAAATATGAAAAAGATATGCTCTCTCCTGAAGCTAAATATGTTGTAAAGAATCTATGAAAACCAAAAGTGATGTGAAAGTTTTCTGTGACACTCAGAGCATAACCACTTTGTGTGAGGTGCCCCTTGTACTCGGGTGGGTGACAGTGTTGTGGCCTGGGGTTTGCACATTGCCAGGTCCAATGGATGTGTGACTCTTTGGTAAGGGGACTGACCTTGACCTCTCAGTGTTCTTCAGATTATTTGGTCTGAGAAGAATGAGATTTTATTGAGAAAATGGATATTATTTACAATTTGTCACTAGCTAAAGTTTACTCTCGTGCATGGTCACAACTAGCTCTTTTTTGCCCCTGCTCCTCATCTCTGGAGTTATTTTTTATTTTGTCCTCAGGAGCTCAGCATGATGGACTTGCAGTTACTTTTTGCCCCTGTTAGCTCCTGCCTCAGGCCATTTGCACTTGCAACTTGCTGTTGCCTCAGGCTAGTGAACCCCTCCCCCATATACACACAGACAGACTTACTTAATTCCTGTCCTTTTTTCAGTCCTCCCCTTTCAGTGTTACTGCCTTTCCTCTCCCAGGTTACACAGATTTCCTTAATAAACACTGTCGTAGCATTATGTATCTTTTCTTGTAGAACTTACAACTAATAATTTTCTTTTAATTTCTCATTTCAGGATTAATATCTGTCTCTCTCCTCCATAAAGGCAGAAAGTCTGTTTTTTGCTTATCATTGAATTCCTGGCACCTATGACAGTAATGTACATGTAGTGTGTATTTTTAAATATTTGTTGAATAAATAAATTTTTGAAAACTTTTCAAACATTTATTGACTGATTAATGATGTCAAAGTTAGAATAATGGAATGGATGGATGAATAATGGAATAAGTTAGAATATGGAAGTCTATCTTGAATCATTTATTTGCCAATGAATGATTTAACAGACTTGTTATAAAAATCAAAACAAAAACCTTGTGGGGCTCTGTTATATATGCCCCCATGTCTAATCTAACTTCTTTGTTATCTCTCAACTGTTACTCTACTTTTGAGATGACTGTCACGGTAACAAATTGATTTATTACACAGCTGTGTGCAGCCAGATTTCCCTTATAGGCTTCTTTAGCATAGGATATTGATTTCTAAAGTTTGCTGTGGGTGGCATATTAATTTTTTTTTTTTTTTAAGATTTTATTTATTTTTTTTTACAGAGAGAGACACAGCGAGAGCAGGAACACAAGCAGGGGGAGTGGGAGAGGGAGAAGCAGGCTTTCCGCAGAGCAGGGAGCCCGATGTGGGACTCGATCCCAGGACTCTGGGATCATGACCTGAGCCGAAGGCAGACCCTTAACGACTGAGCCACCCAGGCGCCTGGCATATTAATTTCTTTCCACTATTTTCTCCCTCTCCCACCACCCCCCCAGCTTTACTGAGATATAATTGACATCTAATGTTTTTCAAGATGTACAATGTAGTGATTTTAAATATGTATATATTGCAAAATGATTACCGCAACAAATAAGGCTAGTTAACACATCCATCACCACCCATAGGTACTAGTGTGTGTGTGTGTGTGTGTGTGTAGAACTTTTAGAATTTACTCTCTTAACAACTTTCAGACATACAATGCAGTATTGTTAACTGTAGTCACCGTGCTGTACTTAATATCCCCAGAACTTTTTCATCTTATAACTGGAGGTTTGTATCCTTTGACCACCTCCACCCATGCCCTCCATTCCCCCCCACCACCCACCCCCTCCCCGTGGCAACCACTAATCTGTTCTCTGTTTCAGTGAGTTAGGTGTCATATAAGTGACACTGTGCAGTATTTGTCTTTTTTTGTCTGTTTGACTTAGCGTGATGCCTTCAGGGTTCATCCAGTTGTCAGGATCCCCCTCTCCCCCGCCCCTTTTTTATGGCCGGATAATATGTATCTATATACCATGTTTTCTGTATCTATTCATCTTAGGTTGTGAATAATACTGCAGTGAACATAAGGGTGTGGATATCTCTTCTAGATAGTCATTCCTTCAGCTAAATACCCAGAAGTGGAATTGCTGGATTGTATGGTGGTTCTGTTTTTAGTTTTTTGAGGAACCTCGAAACCATTTTCCATAGTGAGTAGCTGTACCCATTTACATTCTTACTAATAGTGTATTCACTATTTTCAGTTAGATACTATGGTTTTTTTTTATTCCTGATCAGGTAAAACAGTAAAAAAATTAAATTCAAATTATTGAGAGATACCTTTTCATTATGGCATGTCAGTTTGCTTGCTATTTTGATAAGGAAACATGTTCTTTAAAAAAGTGCCTGTTAAGTTGGTTCTGTATTTCTTGTATTTTGTCATATCCACTGCTACATCTGTTTGACTTTCCCATTTACCCTAGATATATTCCTAGAACAGAAATCTTCATCATACATGAGAAGGGGGGGAAAAAAATCAAGATTCAGGATTTTCAAGTTTGTTACATCTGTGTTCCTTCTACCTTTACGAAAAAGTTTGTTATTTTTCATGAAGATAAATTTTATATAGTAGACAAAGAATTTTAAGTTTGTGGTTTATGAAATCTTAGGTGAAATAAAACATTTCCTCCTTTTACTTGCAGAATTTCCCCCTTTATTAGGAATTGGGGACTTGATCTGAAAAAAAGGCCTAGAAACTAGAACTGAGTATACATTGAACATTGAGGTGTTAATTTCCTTTGATGCAAGTGGAATTTAAGCTGGAAAAAAATCCAAACTAAACAAAATAAAACCTGGGAATCTGGTTTAATGAGAATGGAATGTACATATTTTTAAACAACTACTGAAGTTAAAAGTAGACTATTAATCAAGCATAATGTTGAGTAGACACAA